TCAGTTCTTCCAGGATTTCCCTGTGGCTGGCCACCCCCTCTAGCTGGGATCACTCCCAGAAAGGCACTGGTAAGATAACACGTCCTTAGGAGGCGGGGTGGAGGGTAACCTAAAATTAGCCCCTTGAAGCAAGTCAGCCTTGGGACCAACTACTAACCTTTCTGCCAGGGTGTTAACAGTGGAAACAGAGGGCCCCTTCTGCTCTAGCCCAGGGCAGTAGGGGCTCCCCATGCAGGGTCCACCAGGGCCCAAGTGTATCGAAGAGGCACAGAGGAAGCAACACAGTTCAGTGTGGCCTCAGGCCGAAGTCTTGTGAGTACCCACAGCCTAAAACCCATGTCTGTAAGCCTGCCATTTCTAGAGTCTTGGACCTGGGAGTGCTTAGGAGGTCTGTAGGCAAAAGCCTTCATAAGGGAGGAAGAATACCATGACAGCTTTCTGCCTTGTCTGTCCCAAGAAGGTGTGTCTGCTCAGGCTCTTGTGTCTACATGGACCTACTTTCATATGGGCATTTGCTGTTACATACTACAGAGAGGGTGAAGGTTTTTGTCCTTGTATGGTGTTTGCAAGTCTGTATGTATGTGGGTCTGTGCAGTTTAGTGGGCTTAAAGGCATAAGGACAGAGCTTATCAGGGTGGGTGGAGGAAGGTAAAACTTAAAAATAGTCTACTAATGCTTGGAGAAGTGTGCTAGGTCCTATAGAAATAAAACTCTCTCCTGTAAGAGTTTTTACATGGATTCACAGATCCTGAGAGGGCCTTAGATAAAATACAAAGAGTTCAGAGACTTGAAAGGGCAAACAATTACCTTTTGCCTCCTAACACAGTAACCTCTAACTGAAATTTACCATTTCTTTCAAGGACAAATACAGGCAGTAAATGGCTGTAGTATTACCGGTTCCTGTAACTTGGTCACCAGAAGAAATCACAGACATTTTATATCATATTACAGTGTGGCAGAGATCTAGAAATGTCATTTACGCACTTTGCCACTTAGAAATTATTAGATCTCATTATTTAATGTGTTAATAAATAACATCTATTACAATGTCATGCAGTTTTTAAAATATTTTATGGCAGCATTTTAATGCATTTGATTTCCTTTAACCCTATATATTTTATTTTTATTCACAAAAAAACTTAGTTAAAGGAGTCGATAGACTTCACCTGGGCCAATTTAACAAAAAAGGTTCAAAACTCCTGCACTTTTGGGTTTAGCAAGGGACTCCTTGTATACAGTATGCACATTATAACTCTTTGATTAATAAACCAGAACAGGGTGAGGTCAGGCAATATTAGCTGGATTTTCTTGTCTACATCTAATGCAGATAGTTATGCAAGTGCCATTATAAAGGCAGCTAGCTTGATTTCCCTCTAGGAGTTCATTATATGCGCTCTGCTGTGGACTCATGTTACATTCTAGGTGAATGCATCATCATTTCTTCCACTGTACCCTGCTCTTTTCATCTCCCCAGACCCAAATCCCTAAAATAAAATAATAAAAAGGGATTCCCGACTGGTTATCAGAAGAAACAATTCATAAAGGAAAATTCCAGTACCAAAGTCTCTGGAATTCAACATGACACTCAAAATCTGAGGATACTTGGAACTGCAATACAACTTTGCTTGAAGAAGGGGGAGGAGTCTTATTTGCATTTCATATTGCAATATAAAGAACAGGTTGGGAAGCAGGAAGACCTGAATTATATTTCTGGTTCTGGTATCGCCTTAATATAAGTTACCTAGGAAATCTCTTTCCTTCTCCAGCCATAGTTTCTAACCACTCACAAAACAGGGATAATGTTACCTACCCCACCCCATAAAATAGCTTTGAACAGCACAAGATTATAGGTGTGTTCTGGATTTTTTTTAATGAGACAACAGTAACAGCTGTGTGACCTTGTGAATGCCCTGCTCCCTTCTGAACCTTGATTTTTCCATCTCTCAATTGAAGAAATAAAATTAAATTGCCTACAAGGTCTATTACAACTCTGAGGAATAGCCATAGAAACTGAAGACCTAAGTAAAAATCATCATCATAGTAAAAACAGTGATTGAGAACTATGTTCAGATACTATTCTAAGCAATTATTTTGTATTAACTCATTCAATTCTAACAACACTTCAAAAAGGTACTGTTATCCTCCCTTTAGAGATGAAGAAATGGGAACATCTAGAGTAAATGATCTGCCCTAGGTCACACAGTTACTAAGTGGTAGAGCTGTGATAGAAGCAGGAAAGCAGAGGTTTCCACTATCCCATATGGTTCCCCATGTACCCTGGGAACAAAACAGACCTATACAGCAATTACAATACAATATAATGACTGATATAGTGCTATAAGAACACACTCAGTAGGAAGTAACTCAGCAGAAGAAAATGTATGTGGCAGAAAGAAGCACATTGTATATGGAGAACCATCTTTTTCTTCCCTTATCACTGGATTCCAGATTATAAATAGAAGAGTAGTAAGAAGTGAGGCTGAAGAGTTTGGCCGAGATCTATGAGTGTGGCCAAATCTTTTGGGCTATGCCCTAAAAAAGTGGGCATCATTAAGGGATTTAAAACAGAGGATTGGTACAGGCCAGATTTGCATTTTTAAATTATCGTGTTAGCCACAATGTTGAGAAAAATATCAAAAAATAGAAACTACCTAGAAGACTACAGTAACTATTGTGACAAAAGATGGTAGGGGCCTAGATAAAGCCTCCCACTGAAGATGGATATGAGATGGATGGATAGAGGTCTATAGGAGGTAAAATCCAAAAGACTTAATGGGATTGAATGTGAGTGAGACAAAGAGGTAAGAAAACTTGGATGGGTTTTGGGGTTATAGATTTTGTTGATTGGGTACATGGTAGGAACTGACATGTGGATTAAGTTTGGTGGGGTGGTGGTGGTGGTATACTTCTGAACTTGAAGTGCCTGTAGAAATTCTGTGGATTCATTCCTGGAGATGAAGAGAGAGTTTCAGGGTGGGAGTGGGGAGTGGCTTGGAGTGATAGGTTTAAATCATCATTGTAAAGATAAGCACTAAAGCTCTGGGGACTGGAAATCAGGTGATGGAAGGCAGAATGAGAGGGTGCTAGCCAGAAAAACGTGGGTTGAGTTGGTGGGAAGAAGTGGTCAGTAGAACAGAAGTCCCAGAAAATTTCAGAAAGATCTGAGAAACATGCATTGAATTTAGCCATATTGATGGCCTTTTAAATAGTTTTCTCCATATGTGATCAATGTAGGTAGAGCCAGGCTGCAGAGAATAGAGAAGTGAATAGGGAGTAGGAAAGTAGTCAGTAAATAACTGGATGCTAGTTATCCGTAAAGAAGGGAGAAATGTAGAGAAAGGTAGCTACAGAAGTCAAAGATCTATAGAAGTTTTGGAGGTTTGTTTCCTAAGATAGATGAGGGGGAGAAGTCAGAGAAAGGAGATTGAAGGTGCAGAGAAAAGAAGGTCACTTTTGAAGATCTAATATATGGGCAGTTCTCTTTATTCTAAAAGCTCCAGGAAGCATGTACTATTGTTACTATCCTATAGATAAGGAAAATGATACACAAAGAAGCGAAGAGACTTGCCAAAGTTTACACATTAGGAACCAGGGATACTAAGCTACAAGCCTAATTCCACCTGAACTCCACAGAGAATGAATAATCAGACTATATATGGAGTTGATACAGCAGGTGGGGAGGGGCCTAAAGTTGAGAGTGACCCCACCCACCCACCTCACAATTTTCTTTCTATGAGGTGGGTACTTGAGGTCCCCAGTTAACAAAGAGGGGTGGAGTGGACAGTGAATAAAAGGAGATGTGAGGCCCTGAGACCCCGGCTGCAGGGTATGGGAGAGTAGGGAGATTTGAGCTCTGAAAAATCTACCAGCTCACCCTGATGACATTACAAACTGAGGTGAGTAAACATGAATTTGTAGAATTAGGAATAGGACTGGTAAATCAGGGGTTAAAATGAGTCCGTCATTGGGTCATGAGTGAACTTGGGGGCCTGAGGACTATAAGGGGAGAAGAGTTGAGGGTTGTGTCAAGGCTCTAGGCTAGATTTGGCAGAAAGGATAGGTAAAGGCTTTAGTCAGAAAGATGGAGATGCAGTGTGTTCTGAGGAAGTGTTGGCAATCAAAGGGACTCCTTGATTGCAGTGGTTCTGGGAAATAAACTAGATGTATCAGAGAGAACCTGATCTGGAAACTTCAACTGCCATCTCTTTCCTTTATTTTACTTGAAGTGTGTTTATTGTAACGCCACCCCTTCATTTAATCGGTAAATATCATTCGACCTTCATTTTCTGGGCATCTCTACTTGGGAAGCATGGGACCTGAGTCTGAGAGGAAGTTACAGAAATCTTGGGAGAGGGAGATTTGGTCAGATATGAGTAGTTGTGAAGAAAGTGAACTTCGTCTAAAAAGTCAAAAGGTGGAGCTGAGGGTCTGCTTCACAAGACTGATGTTAGAATGCTCAGGAATGACACAACAAAGCACTGCTGTATTGGCCTAGCAACTGCCAGGTCTGGCGCAGGGCTCTGCAGATAACTAACTTCATTAATCCACATATTCTGATCTGAGGAAGATGCATCTACCAAATTCTCAGCCATTACATAGGCCCTACTGGGAGTGGAGGAATAAAAGATGGACACAGGGTCCTCGCCCTGGAGCTTATACATTAATAGAGCACAAGTGAGTGAAAGTGTGGTATACAAATTCATAGGTGGAGTGTAGTTGTCATCTTTTGGAATCCATGAGTAGGAAGAGGTCAGGGAAGGCTTCCCAGAAGTAGGAGTTTGAGGGGCAGTCAGAAAAATTATATGCAAAGGAACCAAGCTCTGAAATGCCCTGACCTGTTTTGAAAACTATTCCTGGGGCCTAAAATAAGACAATAGCAGTAGGAGTGAGAAACAGGAGACCCTGACCATAAAAGACAGGGAGCAAGAGGTTAGAGTGGAGATTGGCATTCACAGTTTTTCATAAGTACCCTCAGTCTCTCCCCCCTTTTTTACCCACAGATCTGGCATATCTTCCTCCTCATAATGAAAGTAGTCCTGTTACAATCAGCCAAAATGAACCTCATGGATATCACCAAGATCTTCTCCCTCCTGCAGCCCGAAAAAGAGGAGGAGGACACAAACACCGGGGAAAAACAGGCTCTCAATCAAGCAGTATATGACAACGACTCCCATACCTTGGATCAGCTTCTACGCCAGGAGCGTTACAAACGTTTCATCAACAGCAGGAGTGGCTGGGGTGTTCCTGGGACACCCTTGCGCTTGGCTGCTTCTTATGGACACTTGAGCTGTGTGCAGGTCCTCCTGGCACATGGCGCTGATGTTGACAGTTTGGACGTCAAGGCACAGACACCACTTTTCACTGCCGTCAGTCATGGCCATCTGGACTGTGTGCGTGTGCTTTTAGAAGCTGGGGCATGTCCTGGAGGTAGCATCTACAACAATTGTTCTCCTGTGCTCACAGCTGCCCGTGATGGTGCTATTGCCATCCTGCAAGAGCTCCTAGGCCATGGTGCAGAGCCCAATGTCAAGGCTAAGCTACCAGTGTGGGCATCAAATATAGCTTCATGTTCTGGCCCTCTCTATTTGGCTGCAGTCTATGGACACCTGGACTGTTTCCGCCTGCTTTTGCTCTATGGGGCAGATCCTGATTACAACTGCACTGACAAGGGCCTACTAGCTCGTGTTCCACGACCCCGCACCCTCCTTGATATCTGCTTTCACCATAATTGTGCGCCAGAGTATATCCAGCTGTTAATTGATTTTGGTGCTAATGTCTACCTTCCATCTCTCCCTCCGGACCAGACCTCTCATGATGATAAAGGTGTTACATTGCTGATACAGGCCCGAGGTGAGTAGTGAGCAGGCCAGCCCCATAGACCTCCTAACTTGTAGGTCCCAGGGCCCCAAATCACTCTTCAAACCAGTCCTCTGGGATGAACTGGAAAAAAAAAAAAAACAACTCAATTTTCCTCCTTTTCCTAGGGCCAGTGGAGAAGAGGTTACTGATTCGATGTTATGGAAAGGGTCACTAAGATGAAGTGGTGGGGGGAACCTCATGCTACATTTCTGGTGATGGCTCTGCAATGGCTTTTTTCTGACCCTGAGCAGGGCGTCTAGGCCTCAGTGTGTTTCCACTGATACCATATATTGGGGGTGGGAAAGGGGACATTTCTTATAAGGGAGAAGATGTTAAAGCTCGAACAGCCAGGGAAGGGAGATGTAGCTTGCCCAGGAGAATTACACTGAGAATTGCTTCTCATGTCCTGTTTCTCCTTGCTGTAGCCACTCCACGGTCACTCCTATCCCAGGCCCGTTTAGTTATCCGCAGAGCCCTGCGCCAGACCTGCCAGCCACAAGCCATCGACCAGCTGGATATTCCCCCCGTGTTGATTAGCTACCTCAAACACCAAACATGATCTTGCAATGTTTCCAGGAACCCATGATACCTCCAAAAACCACCTAAGGACCCAGGTATCTGTAGGGCACAACAACCCACTCAACTGGAGCTGTCCTCCCATATTATCCTCCATGATTAAATCCTCAGCAAAAAGTCTTGGTGGCTACTATGTCTGACATGTATGTGGGGGAGGGTTGAAGAAAGGGGTCTGATTGGCCAAGGGATAGAACGGTACTGGTCTGATATTTGCCAGGCAGAGGAGTCTTGGCCACTGAAAATCCCAAAGACAAAACTTACCCAATGGCTGTGACTACCCAACCAAGGCCTTCTACAGAGTTTGGAGCTTTGTTGCCCTAGATGAAAGGTCCTGAAGAATCCAAGTGGGTGGAAGGGTAACATCATCAGCTCACCCAGTCCTGTGGCTCACTTCACTTCTCTGGATGCTACAAGGCAAGTTTTCACGGGTTGTTCACCAGTCTCTTAATACTTTCAAGCAAATGACCAAGGTGCCCCCCATTTAATCACCTTGAATTATAAGTTGCATTTCCACTAGTCCACTTTAAAGTCAGGATCAACTGAGAAGCCAGGCATGGTGGCGCATGCCTGTAATCCCAGCAACTTGGGAGGCTGAGGCAGGAGGATCACTAGTTCAAAGCTGGCCTCAGCAACTTAGCAAGGCCCTAAGCAACTTAGTGAGACCCTGTCTCTAAATAAAGTAGAAAAAGAAAGGACTGGGTTGTGGCCCAGGGCTTAAGCACCCCTGGGTTCAACCCCCGTACCCCCCCCCCCCAAATCAACTGGGAAAACAAACAACCAAATATTTATGACAAGAGAATCGGAGATTTAAAAGCAGAAGATAAATAGGTCACATAGCTGATAGGCAGGATAAAAAATTAACTCAGAGATTAGTGACAGCAGAAAGCTAATATCACCCCTAGACTTGAGCAGTATTTCCAGAGGACAGGGACAAGGATCACCTTGTAGAAAGTGTCACAGGTATGTCCATGAAAGCTAGATCCATAGAGAAAACAGGCTGAGCACAGCAGAAGAAAAGAAGAAATACCCTCTCTTTTTCTTCATTCTTGCCCTCTAGTATGTCTCTTTCCCTGGAGAAAATGGAAATCAATTAATTTATGTTCCTGGGAAACAACTTACAGAGGTCAGTCCCCTTGAGGTACAAGGCAGAGCAGTGGAAAATAAAGAATGGAAACACAGTGGGAGGAGGTGTGTGACCTGAGCTGGGAGCTAGATTCACACAGCAGAACTAGAAGTATGCTGATAGCAGAAACCATAGAGAAGACATAGCAGAGCTACCATCTGAGGCATAGAAGGCAGAGAATAAGTATACAGGCTTCTCCATTTTTCCTGTCCTCTCATTATTCCTCCTGCTACTTGAATTAAGCCACAATTGACTGACTTGGGAGCCTAGGAAATGCAGTGTTCAGACTCCCACTCCCAGGATATGGAGATGGGAAGAAGGGCAGGGACAGAGGTAAGCAGGTCCTGGACCAACACAGATGTTCACCCAAATCTAAGCACCTTTATTTTGTTAAACCTTATTGTATTTCCCCTGTAAAACTATTAGTGAGGATGTGGATGAGTAGTGAAAGGGACACAGGATGAAGGGGTATATGAGAAGCACCTTAGATGTTTAGAGGTCTTCATGGTAGTTTCCTTGACAGCCCCCTATATTATAGGCCCCTGTCAAGGGGAAAGGGAAACAAGACATGGGACTTAAACTGACTTGTCTCTCCCCTCTTCCACCTCTCCCATTCTTACATACCACTACATCCTGAGAGACTTCAGGAAGTAAGGAAGGAAAATTGGACATGTCCCTGCTCCTGGACCCATTTCATTCTTAAGTACTTTGGAAAGGGCTGGGGTGTGGCTCTGTGGTAAGAGCACTTGCCTAGCACATGTGAAATACTGGGTTAGATCCTCAGCACCACATAAAAATAAATAAATAGAATAAAAAGTCATTATGTCCATCTACAGCTAAAATTATTTTTTTAAAAAGTACTTTGGAGAGTGGTACAATAGTTTGTCTTCAAGGAGTGTGAGAGTTGAAGGACTGTAAACACATAGAGCTTCAGAGTAGGCATCCTACATTTCTTTTGGGGGGGGGTGGGTACCAGTGATTGAACTCAGAGGCACCCAACCACTGAGCCACATCCCCAGCCCTTTTGTATTTTATTTAGAGACAGGGTCTCACTGAGTTGCTTAGGGCCTTGCTTTTGCTAAGGCTGGCTTTGAAGTCATGATTCTCCTGCCTCAGCCATTAGGATTACAGGTGTGCATCACCACACCTGGCAGACATCCTACATTTCAATCTGGGTTCCTGTTGCGTGGTTTGTCCAGGATCCCACTCCTGACCCTGCCTCCTGTCCCAATAGTCAAGGCCTTTGAGGCTTGGTCAAACTCAGCAGCTCAGTCTATAGGCCCTTGGGAAAATACACCCTTCAAATGGGGCCCAGCCAGGGTAGTCTCTTCATGACATGATTGACCCATAAAAGCATGTGGATATTCTAGTTATTTTAAAGGACTTGAATTTGAGAACATTACAGGAGTGTACCAAATACTAGGAAAAGAGGAAGGGTTGAAACAGCCTCTTTTCTACACAAGGGAACTGAGAAACTGATAAAGTTAAATGCCTATGTTATTGGTGGCTCAGCTCTCCCAGACTACTCCCATCTATTCTTCCAGTTGTCTGTTCTGCTAGTAGGCAGAGACAACCTCAAGGTCAGGTACCTTAATTCTTTCCCTTTCTCACGCCTCACCATTCCCATCTAGTCAATGGTCCAGTGTTTGAAATGAATCATCTTAAGTTTTTTTTTAAACTTTTTTTTAGTTGTAGATGGACATATCTTTATTTTATTTATTTATTATGTGGTGCTGAAGATTGAATCCAGTGCCTCACATGTGTGAGGCAAGTGCTCTACCACTGAGCTATAACCCTAGCCCTCATCTTAAGTTTTGATAATGAATCTTCCAAGGTGATTTTTTCCTAGGAAGTATGAAGAGGAAGCAGAAGTGATATTACTATTCCTGGAGTAAACCTTTCCCTTCTTTGGCACTGATCCCAAGTGAGAGCTTAGTCTCCCCATTTTCCTAGCTACTCCTACCAGCTTTTAGGAAGACAAAGTCTTAACCAGTTCAGGTGAGTCCTAACCCCTTCCTTCCTTCCTTTTCTCTTTTTTTGTCTGTTCTTTACCTTCCTTTATATTTTTTCCTTCTCTCCATCAGCCTGCCTTCCTCCTTCCTTCCTGATATGGTCTGAATGTTGACATCTGCCTAAATTCAACTGTTAGAATCTAATCCATAGCATGATGCTATTACAGGTCAGACCTTTGGGAAATGATTAAGTTATGAGGGCCTAATTTTCATGCATAGTATTAGTGGCCTTATAAAAGAGGCTCCAGCAAGCTCTTTTTACCTCTTTTGCTATATGAGGACACATAGTTGGCACCAACTAGGATGAATGGGCTCTTATCAAACACAGAATCTGCTGCTGTCTTCATCTTAGGCTTCCCAGTCTCCAAAGCTATCAGCAATACATGTCTGTTGCTTATAAATTACCTCATCTAAAGCATTTTGTTGTAGTGAAAAAGTGGACCAAGATAACTCTCCTTTTTACTCCTGACATTACCATAATCCTGAGTCTTGGCTCTGCTTTGCACATACCATTGATCAGTCTGCACTCTCTTGTAATGGGAAATTTCTTTTATTCAGGAAAATATCTCCCAAATGGCCTATGGAACTCCAGAAATAAGAGATATCTTCTTAACCTGCTAAATTGATTGAAAGCTTGATGGAGGAGGTGGTACTTAATCTTGGTTTTAGATGGTTGAAAGGACTTTATTTATCAGAAAGAAAGAGAGACCATATTAATCGAGGGGAACTCATTGAGTAAAAGCATAAAACTAGAAAAATGCAGGGCAGTTTAGGTAACAAGTTCAGTTTGGCCCCAGTTGGGTGTATTTGAACAAGAGCTATTTGCTAGGGACTAGACTGAAGAGGGTAGTGAATATCCTTGTATTTTGGATTAAATATTTTAGCTGTTAGAACGGGACATGTACAATCATAGGAATGACTTACTGACCATATGGAGAACATTTTCTCTGATTCCCATGACAAATCTGGCAACATTCACTTAACTAAACTCTGATAGGGACAGAGTAATTTGCCTATAAATTATCTGTGTGTCCATCATTTCATTTACTTCTCAGAAAAACTCTGGTAGGTAGAACATTTTTGCACAGATACAGATGGCACTGGGGATAGTCTAAAGGGGCTGGGGTAAAAGAATGGGCTTATAGCAGAACAAAAGCTCTCCTTTTCCCTTCATAGGATTCAATGGAGCTGGTTATTTCCAAATTATAATGGAGCTTCACTTTCCTCCTAGCCCTGAGAAAAACCTACACCTCTGTGATCAAGTCAATAATCATCTGCTTCATCCTAGTAACCCTGGAGCTCTATCCACCTACAGGCATAGAAGACATTAGCTTCTTGCCACTAGCTTGCTTGATACCTGCTACTTTAGCATTCTCCAAGTAGGCTTCCTTTTCTCAGTAGAAAAACAGTGGCTGGGTGAATGGTACCATGTTGTCCAGTGATACCTCCAATGCCCTGGCCTATAGTTTCTTCACCTCCTTAATTCTTATACTAGCACCCACTCCCTATTTTAGCACACTTGGCCCCACCAGGAAATGCAAGTCCCCTTTTGTAGTCAGAATTTTCTGCTTTTCCAGAAATTACATTCCTGAAACCCAGTGGTTTGACCCCACAGAATCTCCTCTTTCACTCAACAAATATTTGCTAAGTACCTACTTCTGTCCTAAGCACTGTATTTCAGACACCACATGAACCCTACTTTCTCTCCATTTACCCCGTCCCTTGCTTTATCCTTGCCTACCTTTTCTTTTTAATTGCATTTTTAAATTTGAAATTTATTTTTAACTGATACACAAAACACAAAAATTCACATATTTATGGGGTACTATGTGATGTTTTAACACATGTATATGTTGCATAATGTTTAAATCAGGTTAAACAAATCTATCTCCTCATTTATTTTGTTTTGTTTTTATGGTACTGAGAATTGAACTCTGAACATGAAATCATGCATGCTATGCGAGTGTTCTACCACTGAGGTACGT